CCTCCCCCCCCCCCCCCCCCCCCCCCGGGCCCTGCCGTTACCGAAACCGCAGTGCCTCCGGCCGCGATACCCACCCAGATAACAGCAGCCCCATCCCGGGATGGTTTTTTATTCACCTTGCAGGAGCAGCCTGCGAGCTCGCCCGTGCCAAACCCTGACCGGACCCACGGCCCCGAGACCCCCACCCTGACCGGAGCCCCTTACACCCAGCCCTGCCCGTCTCCCAACCCCACCAGGGCTTCGCTGGACCGGGCACTGTACATACAAATAGCAAGAACAGTGCCTGCCTTGCTAATCTCAACAGACGATACAAAGAGCAGATAGGCGAGGGGAAGCATTATCGGGCCTGATTTACAGATGGAGGGCTGAGTCACCGTGATTAACTGACTTACCCAAGGTCATGCAAGGGAGAGGCCGAGCCGAGCGCTGAACCCGGCTCTCCCCAGTCCCCCGGCGAGGCCATCCCTCCGCTCCCTGCCATGGGGAAGAAGTTTTTCCTTCCCCCCGGAGCGATGCTTGGCTGAGCCCGGGCAGGGGCTGGGCAGCGGGGCTGAGCCTGCCTCTCTGCAGGCAGTGCCGCCCTTTCAGCCCTTTTTTTGTGCTCTGCTTCAGCAGCTGGTGGGGTTTTCTTGTTGGGCGTTGGGTTTTTTTTTTTGCTTTTCACGCAACCGTTCTGTTCCCCCACCGCTGTTTCCTCCAGAGCGGGGTTGAGCCCCGGGAAGATGCGTCGCGGTGGGGATGTGGTGGTCCCCTCGGTCTTCGTGGTGTGGTCCCCATACGGCGTCCCAGCTGAGATGCAAAGTTCCAGCATCCTGCTGGTGGGATTCACAGCTCTTTTCTCTTGGGAGGTAGACGCTCTCGGGGCTGGGGGTGACACAACCTGCGTGCTGGGACAACCCTGCAGGAATAAGTGCTAAAGGGATGGGGAAGTGCTGAGGTACTCAGGCAGCACAGACAGCCCCAGGGGACCCTCGGCTCTGTCCCTCAAGCATAGCTGGATCTTGGGGTGTGAGGGGCTGAGCCGCTTGGCTCTGGGTGCCAGAGAGCCGGGGTGGTGAATCACAACCCGTCTGGCGTGTCAGGGCTCCCAGCAGGATGGGACCTGCCCCGCAGAGTGGCACGCTGGGCTCTGCCTTGCCAAGCCAGGCTCCTGCCATCGCTATTCAACTCATTCCTGTGTCCCCAAGCCGCAGCGGGGCTGCGGGAGGCTTTGGGTGGCTCCATGTTGGCCCCAGCATTGGAGGATGCTCCGGGGATGGGTGAAAGGGCTGAGCACCCGACAGGGCACGCAATTTCAGGTGAGGATCGCTCTCCCTGCAGCCAGGCAGCCTGGTAATAAATACCACATGCTTTTTTTAAAGCATAACCTTCCTTTGTCCCCATCCCATCCCTTTCCACCTCCTCTTCCAGGAGCTGAAACATAAAAACCAAAAAAAGCGATGCCAGCAGTAACCCAAAGAGGAGCCTGGTGCCAGGGGCAGGCTGTAAGACAAAAAAGATTAAATGGTTCCTATTTTCATTTTATTCTGGGTTTCCCGTCCCGCAAGGGGTGAAGTAAGTTTGGGCTGGATCCGTAAACCCTCCGGTGAGGGATGCAGGCAGCCGCCTGGGGAATATCACTTTAAATCAACACGCCCAGGGCTCCTTATCGAACGCCCCATCGGGAGCAGCGCTGGCTGAGCCTCACCGAGAGGCCCCGGATTTCTGCGCCGCGCTGCTCCCGGGGCTGCCATCCCATCGCTCCCCGCCACTGGGTTTGCCGACGGTGATGCACGCCGTGGCCGCAGCCAGCAGGAGGGACCCCCCACGCAGGGACAGGGGCCCCCCAAGCCCCGCCATAGGGACGTGCATCAGGGGTTTGGGGAATGAAGCCCTAATTTACACCTTGCCCTTCTCTCCATGCGCCGTCCATCATTTGCAAGGGATAAATTTGCACCCATCTCCTGCCCAGGCTCTGCCGCCGCCACCGGGCATCCCGGCACGGCACATACGTCCCCTTCATCAGCGGAACAGTCCCGTGTGCCACCGGCTCTGCTTTTCCCATCTCCATCACCGTGCCAGCGCAGGGAGCACGGTGTTTGTTTCTCCTGGCACTCAGCACTAATGCACCAGCAAACCCCAGCCCTTGCCATGCAAATCCTGCAGCTTTACGGATACACAAACGAGCCTTTCCTTCCAAAAAAAAAAAAAAAAAAAAAAAGGAAAAAAAAAAAAAGGGCTCCTTTATGTGGCTGAAAGAGCACGACTGTGATAATGTAGCGAGCGCTGGCCTTGGGTATTTTATCTTGGCAAGGAGCCTTTGCAAATTTAAACAGCAGCAAACAGGCTTTGCAGTTGTGGCTGGAAGCGGCATAAGTGGCGCATTGTTTTGCAAGCAAAACCCCTGCGTGCCAAAGGGCCGCGTGTGAGCTTTGGCCGGCGCGCGCGGGGGGCGAGAGCGACAGGGTCCGGCCGTATCAGCCCGGGATTCATTTCACTTCGTGGCGTGTGAAATTGTGGAGGAATTCGAGCCCGGCAGCTCAAATCAGAGAGGGGACCCCGGGAAGCACACACCCCACACTCCCCCCCGGCCCCGAGCTGCCTTCCCCTCCCTGCAAGGGCTCGCAAATCTTTGCAGAGGGAGTGGTGGGGATGCAGCTGTGCCTCTGCGATCGCCATATCAAGATATATATATATATCTCGATAATGTTATTCACGTGTATGTGCTGTAGCAGCATCGCGGAGCGCTGGGTGCTCACCCCGGGTGCTGCGTGCATGCAAAGCATCAAATGTGAACGGAGAGACAAACGGTGCACGCTGCGGAGACCCCGAATAGATGCAGGTCGCTCCCCTTGTTGTTTTTTTTTTGGCAGAAATTCTCATTTTCTGCTCAGCTCGCTGCCGGGCAGGGAAGGAGAGGCTGCACAGCACGGGGCGACCCCCAAATGGGGCTGGGGAGCTGTAAGAATTACACCCAGGAGAAGACTAATAAGCCAAATTTCACGCTGCTTTGCAGCCAGGTTGCCCCCTCCCCAGCTCCCAGCACTATCATGCCTTTGCCCACTGCGGCAGACTGTTAAAGAGGCGTTTCTAGTGAGGGAGGAGAAAGAAACCCTTTCTGTTTCCAATAGACTTTTAAAAAGAGACACTTAAAAACAGGGGTTTACCTTTTTTTAATATAACCTGTGTCTGGGGCTAAAATCCTGGTGGTACCTTTTAAGAGGCTGCGCTTGACTTGTGCTTCGTGTCTAACGAAGTCCTGTATTGTAAAATCAGTTGGTAAATTCAGGACTCAGTTTTTACGCTTTCACCTACTCAACGGTGTCGAAAATTGCGAGGGCAATCTGCGGGTGGTGTTGGAAGTTAAGGCAGAGGCAGCAGAAGCTCAGGTGCTTTCTGGGGTTCGGTGGGGGGCAGCGAGGTCGAAAGGATGCGCTGCGGAGGGGAATCGTGGTGGAGCAAAAGCCTTCTGCTGCGCAGCCTGACCTCATTGTCCCTCCGACCGCAGGAGTGGGGACACGGGGACAGAGAGCCCTTCCCAGGACGCCTCTCCCAGCCCGGCCCGACAGCCCTTCCCGCTAATCCGTAGGTGGAGCTCTTCTGTCATCTTTTTCTGCTTATGTTGCTAAGTAGTACCCAGAAATAGCTTCTCCGGGAGGAAAAAAGTGCCTCCCTCAGCAGCTTTTGCCAAAGGTGAAATGCTCTGAGCATCCTTTGAAGAGCCAAAAGCTGGAGGGCTTCGACCCGGGGCTGCTCACAGGGGGGTTGCGCTGCCCCTTCCTCCATCCCCCTCCCCACCGTAGCACCAAGAAAAGGGGCCAAAATATCTCCTCTCCCTCTGCTGGCTGTCTCCCCGGCTGATGGCCGCCCTGTGTCTCTTTTCTCCTCTCTCCAGGTCTGAAACGATGTGGCAGAGCCCCTCTGGTGCTCGGGACCCCACGCCGCCCCGGCCCCGGGGAGCCACTGCCCCTCTCACCGCCCCGGTGCCCATCAGCGGAGGACCATGCCCGTGACAGAGGGACGGCAGCTCACAGCGGGACGGGAAAACGGGGTTTTCTAGCCTTTCCCCCCACCTCGGTATCATGACTGGAGAGACCCAGCATGTTTACACCATCGGCGATACTGAGGCCGGCCCCAAAGACCCCGACAAGGACTTTGGCTTTGAAGGCTGCGGGGAGAAGGATGGGAGGGCGCTCGGCGGGGAGGGCACGTCCCCTTTCCCCGGCCCCAAGGACAAGGAGCCCCACAGCCAGCGGGAAGCCGTGATCCGGCCGCAGCAAGCGGGAAAGATCGACTTCAAATCCCTCCACCGCAAACCCAAGTTTGGCAACGACGGCGCCTGGGGAGAGGTCAAGGGCAGCCCCCAGTCCCCCCCGGGGAAGGGTCGAGCCCGCGAGCGCAGTCGGCGCTCGGGGAAAGGCGAGCGGGGCCACCATCAGCTTTACCGGCTCAGCATCGCCGGCCCCCGGCCAACCCCCACCATTGGCATCGCCTACCCCCAGCAGAAGGTGACCCCTCCGAAGAAGCCGGAGGGGAATCACGGCCCTGTGGCCGGCAGCTACCGCTTCCACGTGCCCAGCATCCCCCAGCGCGAGGCTGAGCTCCGGCAAGAAGACCTCGGCTTCGGCCGCTGCTTCCCTGATGCCGCCGCCGGCCGTACCTCCGCCAACTATACCTCACAGCCCGCTCCCCCCCATGGCCCCAAAGGGCAGCCCCCCACCACCGGCATCCCCCTCAAGAGCCCCGGCACCAATGGGCAGCTACATTATTTAGAGTTTCAGGCGAACGGGGCCGACTCCTGGGCTTCCCCGGAGAAGAGCTTTGCCGGTGCTAGCTATGGGATCTCGGTGCAGAAGCCCAGCTCTTTCCCCGAGGGTGGCAAAGCCGGTGCCCACGGTCTGGGGGCTTTGCCGTGCCAGTACCCCTTCCAGCTGCTGCACGACACGGGGAAGGAGCCGTACCGCAGCGATGCGGGGAGCCAGGAGTACCTGGACGTGGGGCTCGCCGCCGGGCAGCTGGCTCACGGCACCTTCGCCTTCCACTCATCCTCCAGAGAGTGGCAAGAGGAGGCGCTGAGCGGTGGCTCCTATGAGAGCGTGTCCCCTGAGAGCAGGCTGTATGGCTTGCCCGCCCCGCCACCGCCGCCACCGCCGTTCCTGCACCCGCCGCCGCCGCCGGCCCCGCACCACAGCCCGCTGCCGTGCTGCAAGGGCAGGAGCGAGCATCCCGCCGACCCCAATGGTGCTCTCTCGTCATCTGGTGCTATCGACCAAAACCCAAGCACTTTCCAAGAAAACCAAGCTGTTTTTCCGTCTAGTTTACACTCGCCTAGTATGCCAAAGCCAGTCGGTAAGAGGCAAGCCTCAGCGAAAGACAGTGTCCCCGGCCCGCGGCTTCTGGTCCAGAGCAGCCCTCTGAGAAGGAACATGCCACCAAACTCTCTCTCCCAAGTGCACTTTCAGAGCAAAGCCTATTGCAGTTCACCCGCGGGCAGCGCCAGCGCAGGATCCGTGCCTTTCGAGACAAGCATTCCCACTACGGCACCCACCCACCCCAGGCTTGTGCAAGCTTGGGAAGGTGCCACTAAGGCGTTTTCTCCCATGGACCAGAATTCAGCACCTTATTCAAACCCTGTTGGAAACCAGTTCTCATTCGAGTGCCAGTCTGGCCCCGAGCAGAGGCAGCACAGGCAGAAAAATGCCAGGATGCCTTGGCAGCAAATACACCTCGCTTCTGCAATGCCCGGTCAAAACAGGCTAGAGCTGTCGAGACAGATCACCAGCCAGAAGCTCCCCTTCCCCCTGGTCGCGTCGGAGTGGCAGGGGAGTGGGAAAGCCCAGAAAGGGGCCCCCGTAAGTAACTCTCCAGGGTATCACGGTAAAAAGGTCTTGTCAGGAGAGAGCCTCGGGGTCCAGAGGGGAGATCCCAACTCGACAGGCACTTTCTCTTTCGAGAGTGGGAAGGAGCCTGGGTCTCCTGCCTGTGATTCCAGAAGCAAAGCCCTCTTCTACAGCATGGGTCAAGCAGGTCCTCCTCCCTCCAGGAGCTCATCAGGCTCAGCGCTGGTCCTGCCACCGTCAGCCTTGGTGGCTGCCTCCCCTTGTGAGTCCCCGCTGCCGTCCCCTGTCCCCAACCCCACCTGCAGCAGTACCTGCTCGTCACTCTCCCCCATGTCCAGCAGCCCGCTCAACACTGGCTTCGAAGACAACCAGATGTCTGGAGCGCTGACCCCCTCTCCCTTCTTCCAGCATCCCTGCCATCCCAAGGACAGCAACAAAACCTTCCACCCCTCCGATGTCCTGAGCTCCAGCTCTCTTCATTACCACACTCTGGACTCTATCAAGTCCTTCCACTTCCCTCCTGATGCCCTGAAAGACGACAGCCTCCTGAAATGCACCCCGGCAAGCCCGTTCCACAAACCCAGCGTGGAGCTGGCCAAAGGATGCTCGGATGGGTTGGAGGAGGAGCAGCCACCGCCGCCGTACTCCTCCCATCACTTGCTGGCCAGCTCCCTCAGCAGCGCCAGCCTGGACCAGCTGGATGTGCTCCTGACCTGCAAGCAGTGCGACCAGAACTACAGCAACCTCTCCTCCTTCCTGCAGCACCGCCAGTTCTGCACCTCCCATCCTGCTCCGCAGGGAGAGGGCAAGGATGCTCCCCAGGTAGCTGAGGGGCGGAAAGCGCTCCCCCTGGAGCCCCCCAAGCCCCCCAGCCTGGGGCTCTCTCCAGACCCCCAGGCGCATTTGTTGGCATTAAACAAGAGCGATGACTTCTTGCTGGATGGAGAAAGCAAAAGCGAGGGCAAGGAAGATGCTCTGAAAGGCAGCCTCTTCAACGGACTCACCACCAGCTCCTTGCCACTCACCGCTTCGGACCTGGACATTGACGACGCCAAGCTGGACAGCCTGATCACCGAAGCCCTCAACGGCCTGGGGTATCAGTCAGATAACCCAGAGATCGACAGCAGCTTCATAGATGTGTTTGCTGATGAGGAACTAACAGGCGTCAAGGCGGCTGGTGGTGGGATGTCCCACAAGACGAAGGAAGTCCTGGCCTCGGAGAGCAAATCGAAGCAGGCAGCAGCCAAGGAGAAGGCAGCGGGCCAGCCCAAGGCCGGCTATTTTTACGAGGACGGCCATCCAGGTGGGGAGCAGGTGAAGAGAGGGACAGGAAAGCAGCACCTTCACAAGGGGAGGGCAGCGCAGAGGTTGGCAGCCCAGGAGCTGAATCCCAGGGCAGCAGGAGCGGAGAGGACAGCCAGGCTGCGGGCAGGCAGGAAGAACAGCATCCCACCGGTCGCCACCTCCTCCAAGTCCACCTCGAGCCAAAAGCATCCCAGGAAGCTCAGCCAGGAGCCTCCAACGAAGAGCGAGGTGGAGCCAGGCATTGCCACCAAAAGCTCCAAGCCACCCCGGTTCTCCATGAAGGAGATGAAGAAGCGGAAGCCCCGAAGTGGGACATGGAGCAAGGAGCTCATTCACAAGATTGTTCAGCAGAAGAACAAGCTCCACAAACTGCAGGTGAAGAGCAGCAAGCAGGCACAGTTCCCCCAGGTCGCCGAGAGGCTGATGCCAGCTGCCAAGGAGGGCAGGTTTCAGGAGTATGACTATGTCTCCGACTCAGATGATGATGGGGCAGAGTGTAGCAAGCTCCGGGGACGGAAGAAGCAAAGTACGGGATTCATCAGGAGGACCAAGTACAGCTTTAGCAAGAAACGCCCGGGAAGAAGTGAGAGAGCCAAAGAGAAAGATCCAGCCTGGAGCTACAGCCGGAAAAGGGACAGTCAGAAAAGGGAAGCAGAGGAGCACAGGGGGGTCCCAAGACAGGAGGATGGCAAGAAAGAGGATTGTGCTGCCAGAGTCCGAAGACGGAGCAGCCAGTCATCTACTGGCAGCAACCACAGCAATAGTACGCCCGGTGAAATGGGCACCAGCCCACCCCATGCTGATGGGGCTGGCTCAGGCAGCGAGAAGGGAGGCACGCAGAGGAGGAGGCATTCGGGCAGCCCAGCACGTGTGCCAAGGACTCCACTCAGCCTTCCCGAGGACAGGAGCCCAAAGAAGAGCCAGAAGAGCAAAGACGACTTTCCCAGGGGGAGCAGGCGGTTTGGCTCAGCCAAACCTTTGGTAGAAGGCTCCAGGACACATCCAAGTACCGAATCGGATGTTGCTGTGACGGATTGTGCAAAGGAGGAGCCGTTACCGCAGCCCCAGGAAAGGCAGATGCCCAGCACAGCTGCCTCCGGCAGGAGCCCCGTCAGGATCTCCTGTAAGGAGGGGGCAGAAGAGCCGAAAGAAACAGAAAAGCACATGGGTGAGGCAGGAGAACCCACCCCGGAGGCTCAGAACTCATCTGAGCTGACTGTAGTCAACCAGAGGCATCAGTTTGCCCCTTTCACGAGCGATGGGCTGAAGTATCATGCAGAAGAGCTAATTGCTCCATCCCACGGTGGTAACGAAGCTAGTCCTGGCAATGTGAGTGCTGCCTACTCGGAAGCGAGCATCAAATACTTGAAGGCACACGGGCTCTGTGACAATCGGAAGGACTATCCCGTGCCAGTTGCCCCATACGGGGGGGATGCAGTGGGGATGATGCTTGCTGCCAAGGCACCTGATCCATACGTCAGCAGCGACAATGCATTTTTCAGTCCCAAAGGCCTTCCCGGTCACTACGATGACAACCTCTTCTCAAAGCCCCCAGCCCTGGGCTCCTCACACATGGATGACATGTACTTATGCCGGGATGACATCAACGCCAGCTCCTTCGAGCAGAAGCACGCCAGCATCTCCCCTTACACTGCAGAAACGCCGCAGGGCAAGGTCTCCTCCCCTCTCAGCTTTGATTCCTCTTCAGTATTTGGAGAGCTTCCCGTCAGCGAGTTTGATCCACCACTGTACGAGAGCGTTTCTGCAAGCAAGGATGGTTATGTGACAACGTTCACCTGCCCTGGCAATCCCCCCAGCAAGCCACTGCCGTTTGAGCAACCGTATCCACCATTCATGCCAGAGAAAGACTGGTCCCTCATGGAGGAGGTGGCTCCGATGCTGCCAGAAGACATGACTCAGTTCCAGAGCCTTTCAGTGGAGAAGCCACTAGTCAAGAAATTCCCAGAGGAAGGACCTGTCCCCACCAGCCAACTCTCCCTCCCGCTGCCAGACAGGATAACCGATTATAACATGACTTTTATGAACAACATATCAGACGATGACCTGGAGATCAAGCGATTAGTCACAGAGCTGGAAAGTCAACTGCAAACCAGCAAGCTGGATAACGAGGCATCCATCACCCTTCAGAAACCCGAGCAACACATTACTGCCCATCTGCGAGGAGAGGTGGCCAAGCAGTTCCCACCACTGCTGGTTGAGCAAGAGACGGGCCAGGAGAAAGGACTGTTTTTGACAGAAGAGCTGGACACTTCAAGCCTCTGCGTCAGGGAGAGGCTGGGAGGAGAGAAGCCAGCCGTCGCAAGTGCCCATGTGGACTATGAGAGACCCAGGGAGACCTGGCCCTGCTCAGTGCAGCTGGGCTCACTGGAGGCAGGGATGTGCACACCAGCCCCGCTCACCACGGATCATTTCTGCTCCAAAGACAGTGGCGAGCAGCTCCGGGGAACTGCAGCTGCCAAGGAAAGTGACCCTGAAAAGATGGAAAATGGGTCTTCCTCCAAAAGCCTACCTGGCTCACGTACACCAGACCAAACAGAGGCTCCCGTCTACATGGACCCTGTGACAAAAAGCCCTCCTGTTGTCACTGACTCCATGTTCCCCAAGACCCTTGAGGCAGCAGAAGCAACCAAAGATCCCCTGCCATCCCTGCCATGTCAGCACGGTGCCGAGAGCTTCCCTGTGCTGGGGAAAGGAGATGAAAGCTTTGCTGATGCTGCAGAGCTGGAGAAGTTTGATGCCCATCTTCCAAACCATAAACCTGAATTTGGCTTTCAGCAGGGTCCCACCCCAGCATTGGATCTCGCCTTCTCACCTCACGTCAAAGAGGTCCCAGATACAGAAGAAAGACCCTTGAGCAGGCCCGAGTCACCCAAAATGACGAAAAGTGCTGTGGTCTTCAAAGGGGATGGTGGTGGGTCTGCATTGATGGAAGAAACGGAGGAGAGGAAGAGCCCCACCACCTATCCAGCTCCTGGACCCAGCGACAAAGCCAGCAAGCAAAAAGTGCTACTGTTCGATATGCTGAGTCTGCCCAAGGAGAGTGAATGTGGCTCCCAGAAGATGTTGGCATCCCAGGAGACAGCTGCCAACCCTCTGCAGCAGCTCCAGCTCTTCGTTGCCCGAACGGTGAAGAGCAACGAAGAGGAGTTGTTGATGCCGTGCTTCCCCATGCTGCTTGCTCCCGGCCACCCCTCTGCCACTACCCGCATCCAGCCAGAGCAGAAAGAGGAGAGCGGCGGTGCCATGGAAGGGGAAAATCGGACATACTGCCCTGCCCAAGGGGAGGGGAACGTCCCCATTGGAGGCAATGTGGAAAATATCGCTGCCCCAGCGAAAGAGGCTGTGCTTTTGTCAAGTGGATGCGAGCAGCTGGAGTCGTTCGGTGCAATGGGCTCTTACCATGCGAAACAATCCACGTTTGCAAAGCCGGAGCTGCAAAATAATGTAACGGAGCTGCAGCACTTAGCAAATGAACATGTGGAGCTGAATGACATTAATATCCGTGCAGATGGTGTTTCCCAAGAGCGTAATGACCTCTCGCCACTCAAAAACACAGCGGTGACCCCACTGCCAGGGCAAGGAAAGAAAGCTGATCGGCTCATGGAAGAGCAGGAGCAAGATAAAAACAAAGCGACCTTGGCATTTAAAAAACATGAGCAATCCCATTTAAGCCATAGTTTGCTCGAGAAAGAAACACTGGGCAGTGCGGCAGCAGAGAGGCGGGAAAGAAATCAGGTGGGGCAGGGGGCACAGACCCTGCACAGTGCTCCTGCGAGTCCCACCAGCCCCCCCAGTCCCTCCGAGGAAGAGTTCCACCAGGATCACCACTTGGTGCCAGAGGCAAAAGCCAGTGCACTCAGTGGAAAGGTTCCCAGCGAAGCAAGTGGCATGAAGTCCCTCAACGGCTGTCATTACATGGGCAAATCTCCAGCCAGCTTGCCCTTGCCAACCGATTTTTCTCACCCCAAATGCTTGCAAAGCGGTGGGGCCACAGGAGGAGAGGTCCCCAGCTTCGGCACTCAGCTCTCGGATGAGAAGAAATACGGCGCATCCCTGTTTAACACATCAAGTTCATTTGTCACAAAGAGGTGTCCTCCTGAGGCCAACAGCCATCACATCCATCCCCCCACCGTAAGCCCAGTAGAGCAAGGGACATGGAAAAGGGCACCCACCTTTCCTCCCTCGCTGCATCACTGCAGGACTGCGCCAACAGACGCGGTCAGGGACAGTCACCATCACCTCCCTGACACTGTTTTGGGTAACTGTGAACCACCTGAAAGAGAAGGGACAGCAAGACTCTGCGCTCTACTGCACGCTGATGGTCTGGTGGGCTCTGCCTCAGAGATGGATGGTCCACAGATACTGCACAGGAAGGACTGCTCTCTTCCCAGCTCACCACCTTTCAACCAAAAGAGTGTTGGGAAGGAGGCACCCAAAAGCACCGGTGCTGTGCTGTCAAGTTCTCATTTTAAAGAGAATCAAGCGTGCGCCATCACAGATCTCGTTGTTAACTCCATTCCTCCAGAAACTCAAGATTACCCAACTCAGCCCACAACAGATCTTCCACCAATCATCAGAGAAAAAGAGGTAAACCTGAATCAAGAGAACAAGCTTGATAGCTGCTCTGATGATGGAAATAAGCATCAAAGTGAACCAGAGTCTTTCTCCAATGGGTTTGCTGTTCAGCAGCTGCCAGCAGGTGCCAGAGGTCTTACAAGGATTGGTGATCTTGGTCCAAAAAATTAAATGGCCATGAGTTTTCAGAGGCAGCAGAGGTGAGACTTGGTCTTTTGAAAACCACAGAGAGTGGAGGAAAGAGTTTAGAAGGGGAGAAACCTAAAACCCATGGGGCTGGAGAAGCTGGGAGTTGTGTGTTAAACAACATGGGCCAAGGAGAGGGCAATATGCATAACGGTATTCCAAACCCTTCCCAAAATGAACTTCACAAGGAAAAGCAGACAAATGGGCTCCCAGTGACGTGTGACATTTGTTCAGCCACTTTCCGGTCCAAGCCTGGCCTGACCAGGCACAAAGCTGTAAAGCACCAGGTGAAGAGCACTGGTGTACCACAGCCCAGCAAGACTCCCAGGTCCACTTTGATTCCTGCAGACAAGACATCAAAAGTAGCCCAAAAGATGCCCAGGAGGAGCCTGAAGACTTCATTCAAAGAGAAAACCTGCAGCTCAGAGACGCTGACCACCAACATTGACCACATCCCCAAGAAAATATGCCCAGACCTGGAGAAAGAGCCCAGCGCCCAGATGCAAGAAGTGGTCAGCAGAGTCCTCAGCGATCTCAGCGTGATTTCCTTCGAGATGTCCGAGGAGCTGCACCGCACACATGTTCTGCAGAGGGAGATGAAGGCAAAGGGACCGCGCTTGGAGACAAGAGGATCATGCGAGGTGGCATCTGGGAAGCCGAACCCAGGACAGCAAGCCAGGAAGGGAGAAAAGGGCAGAAGGAGCCAAAGCAAAGATACTGGAGAGGTGAACAGCAATTCTGAAAAGAAGCTAAACAGGAAAGTGAGACGAAGGAAAGCAAAGGTATTTCCCAGCAGAAATGATCCCAATGGTCCATGTGAGCTGGAAAAGAAGGAAGGTCCTCCCCCTGCTGTCCTCAGCTCCAGTCTGCCCGGGATCGTGGAAGGCTTGCGTGAGCCAGGTGGTTGCATCTCCACAGAGGAACAAAATAGGTACAACTCAACCCAGCACTCTGAAAAAACTAAGCAGTCCCCTTGTGCAGCTGAGCTCGCAGAGGACCCAGGTGACAGGATGGTGTCTTTGAAGGAGGCGGTCAGCAAGGAGTCAATAATGGGCACAGTTGCCTGTCCCAGGGAGTTGGAAGATCCAAATGGAGTGGAAGACACAGAGGCTTGCAAAAAGTGGGTTCGCGGGTTTGTAAAGCAAGTGGAGAAGGGATTGGGCAAGGTAGGCAAAGAGCAGCATCATGGTGCTGACGGCACGGAGGAGATGGATGCTGAGACAGGAGACAGTCCTGAAGCAGGCAGCAGCACTGGGAACCGGAGTGGTACCCCACAGGG